GAAGTCAGGGTGACAGCACCTTCCACATGAGATGCCACCTCTACCGCACCACCAAGAGATCTGGTAGGCAGAACCCAAAAACAGGCCTTGTGCGACAAGGAAAGAAGGTTTTCTTCTGCTATGAATGTTGTTGATGTTGTTGTTTTGTTAACTTTCTTTACATAGAAAAGGAGACTTCAGGAAGAGGGGAAAAAAGTGCCCCTTAGCTTTTTAGTTTCATTAGAAGAAACTAGAAGGTGATGGAGGCTGGTTTAAGAAGCAGGGCAAGACAAGAATACAGCAGTTGTATTATTAACATCTTTTCTTTATTAAGTTCTTTTGTTGCTGTGGACCTTTGTGATTTGTTTGCATTTTTGCAAGACAATCATGGATCCAGTTTCCAGGCACCAAGACTCACAAATTAAGTGCAAGTGTCACTTAATGGATCCCATAAGGCATCGTCATTGGGAATCAGAGGATTACATTAAACCACTACATTAGATTCTTTTGTAAAAATTTTCACTTTCTTTCCAGAGCTGTGACACCACCCCCCCCCCCCCCCCATAAATACAGAGAGAAAAATAAAATATATCAACAGGGTGTTCTGGGTCTTTTCTGTAGAAAATGGGTACTTTTTAAAGCTCATTTCCTGATTTCAAAGGGACGTGACTCATGCTTTCTTGCACACTTGGATGTGACAATACCGCTTGGTAGCACACAGCCATGAGTGTAGCAGCTTGAAAAGCCCAGTTCATGTAAGAGAAAACCAGTTTTAATGGATGCATTCTTCCTCTATGATGTGGTTGTCTGCTGTGTGAGGTACCTGAACAAGTGAGTGTGTATTTTTAAAGATGACACAAACCTCTTCTCCCAGTGTTCATTAATCATAGAATCATAGAATGGTTTGGGTTGGAAAGGACCTTAAGGTCATCTAGTTCCAACACCCCTGCCGTGGGCAGGGACACCTCACACTAAACCATATCACCAAGGCTCTGTCCTACCTGGCCTTGAGCATTAATCAATCTCTTCCCTTAAATTCAGCTCACACATACATAGCCCTACAGCTCTAGGAAGTCCCGTGTTTCTCCCAGGCTAACAGTGCTTTTTATTTTTATAAGTAAATTTTTACAAGGAGAAAGGTGAATTCTGCACCCAGTCTGAGCTTTATTTAGGTTGTTTGTGTGGAAAGCCTTCATTCATGGGTGCTACATTGGAGATCTCCAGACAACTTGTCTTCTTTCACAGTGTGTGTCCTCACTGCTTTCAGAAATCACAGAATCACATAACGGTTTGGGTTGGAAGGGACCTTAAAGCTCATCCAGTTCCAATCCCCTGCCATGGGCAGGGACACCTTCCACTAGACCAGGTAGCTCAAGGCCCTGCCCAGTCCAGCCTTTCTCACCTCCTTTTAGGATGTTGCAGGCTGAGTGGTGCAAAGTGCTGGTCAGCATTGAAAACATGGCTTTTCAGTGTTGTCCATGTGTAAGGATGTCTGTGAGAGCAGTGAGCTGAGCGCCATGGCCATTGGTGGCCAGAGGAAGAAGGTTGCTGGTAGTTGCAGTGCTCCTGTGCTGCTGGAGGTCCTTCATCAGTTGAGTCTTCCTGGAAAAACAAGGGCAATCTGAATTTCTAATGCAGCAAAACAAGCAGCAGATAACTCCCCCCACCACCACCCCAGTATTCTGAAGACCCTTTTATGAGTCTTTAAAGAACTGAACGAGACCCAAGTGAGGTCTCACTGTTCAGTCCCTTTAATTTCCTTAACTTTGTTGTGAGTTTGTTTGGGTTTTCTCCCCATTTTGTGAGGGTGATAAGTCCTGACAGCCATGAGACAACATTTCTTAGACAACATTTCTGAATCCTTGGCTTGACATCCAGCAGTAAAGGCTGAGGAGCAGGAGCTGTGCCTCCCTCCAGGTGCACCAAGCTGGAGACAAACACTCTGCTCCCTGCATTTATCCATGTACTTAGCAGAATTCATTACTTTTCCATGTGATCTCCAGCATGGCCTGAATCTCAAATGGCTGCAGCTCCATATCTGAACTTAGGAAAAAAGAGTAAATCCTTTTGGTATTGTGTCACAGCGGCTGCTGCTGCTCAACAGAAATGAAGAAGCCTCCAGTCGCCAGGCAGGAAAAGAGCTATAAATGTCATAGATTGGCCACAATAATATTCAAGAGCCGTGCCCTTCCACAGCCTCTTTAAGTATATATAACTCAAAATTTATTTGACCTTTCTGGCTGTTTTTTTCTCTTTTTAATATATAGATCCAGTTTGACGGTTGTTTCTCCCTCACATTTTAGAATGCTTTGACGTTACAAAAAGCGCATTTCTACTCAGAGACCAGATGTGTTCTCCAATAACAGTTACACAGCACAGAGTAATAAACCTATTGTTTATTCCAGTAAATCAAAATGTTTAATCAAAGAAGCCAGACTGTTATTTTTTCACTGCACATTTGTAATGCTTTGTTTGACTTCTTACATGTTCATGCATATATACATACATACATATATATATTTCAATGTTTCGAGCACTGTGATCTGCAGCGCAACAGAAGGAGAGCCCTGTGTTGGCGAGGAGCTACTGATCCATCAGGGCAGCGTTCTTGTGAGTGAGCCCAGGTCCTGAGGCTAAAGTCCTGCTGAGCCAGGATACCCAGGGGTGCAAGCAGATGCTCCGTCAGCACCTCAACATCTCCCTGGCAGGAGCGATGCTTCCCCTGGGATATGCCAAATACCCTGACCCCCAACCAAGACAGCTTGAAGGGCGGATCACCAGCCATCACTGGGCTTAGAGGGAAGTTTACAGCAGCCAGAAAAGCTGATTCATAAACGTGAAACATTTATTAGCAGCCAGCACACTTTTCCTGTTAAAGCTGGCAAGCAGGCAAGGGGAGTGAAGCTGCTTTTTCTGACCTGCTCCTCCTTCCCAAAAGCACAGTGGTAACCACTGACAACCCTCCTCTCCTCATATGAGGGGACCCCCGTCCCACACTGCTTTCCAGCTCCCTCAGGCACTACCCCATTCCTCTTCCCAGCCCCACACTTTTGCTGTTGAGCAGTGAAACTTGGTGCCACCGATTCACTCAGGCTTCCTTGTGCCATTGCAGCTTCCTCTGCTTTGTGGTTTGCCTGTGGTTTCTTTCCAGACCCACCCCACCCTCCCCCAGATACCAGAAAATGTTTCATCCCCACTAAATGCATTTCCATAGGATTACATCTCTCTGGGGCACTCCTGAATGGGCAGCTCTTTATCCCGTAGGCTTCCAACACCAGGTTTAGCTCAGCTAAGCCTTTCCCTGAATAAATGGACTGTGGGAAGATAAAACACACACAGAGGCTGTGTCCTGCCTATAAATCCTGGTTTCTGGCCCGCACATTCACCTAGCCCTTTAGCAATTTGTCTTCCAACCATGCTTTTGCACAACAGCCTCCATTCTTGACTTGAAGCTGCCTGTTGCAATTTTATAATGGCGTCTGGGAATGGATCTATCTAGTTTTTATTCTGGGACTAGGCACTGCAGAAGGACTCTGTCCTCTACTTTCTGTCTCCTGTTAATGCTACCTGACAGTAAGCAAATAGTACTTGATGTGCCACCCCTTCTCTGTGCCTGGCTGTTGAAATTCTCATTTTCACCTCCTACAGCCTTTCTTGTGGAGTGAGCTGCACACATGAATTCACACCAGACCCAGACAACCTGCACTGGGGATAATGCAGGTTTTGGGTGCACAGCTTTTGGGGTAAAAATATTATCAAAAGCTAAAGTCCAGGCTATTTTCCCTAACAAAGCCGCAGGCCTGTGGTCATTGGCACTTCCATGCTGCAGCCAGCTGCATTAAGTCATATGAAAAAAGCCTGATGAGCAATTCCAAGAAGGAGCCACCAAAATTTCCTTCTGCGTCAGCCTGGCTGCATCTTCTGCCCTGGAGATTGGCGGTCCCAGCTCCCTGACACCAGAGAAGTGCGTTAGGTTGCTGCCAAAAGGGAGAGAGCACTAAGAGTCAAGAGATTCAGGCTGGTTTCCCAGATTTGAAACAGTTGTCCTTTACAGCTTTGTGCAAAAAGCACTTTTTTCTACGCTTCCTCTGGGTCCTTATCAGGAACACTGGAACAACATTTCCTTATTCCCAACCTGTCCTGCCCACCAGAGGAGTAAGTTTTACAGGGAAGGAGCTGTATCTTGCTGCAGAGGGGTACAGCACAACCAGGTCCTGATCTGGGAGGCGTGGAGAATGGCAGGATCATTTACTGAATGCAGAAGCATCACCCAGCTGGATGTTTCTTTCAGCTCTGTGATAAACCACCAGAGTTAGGAACAGCTATAGTTTCCACAAGATCAACAGGGATCATATTCCTCACAGAAAGCCACCCTGGTGTCACTAGAAGTTTGCAGCACTCTAACCTTAGGATGGTTTGGCTTCTCCTGTGAGGACATGGTTTTATGGGCATATAGGAGGAGGATGGATGTCACCTGGCAAGGCAGAGAACCAGCAGTAAAGCTTAGACATTTTTGCACCATCTGTTTTGCCAATCAGTGCTGCAGCTCTCAAACCCTTGAGGAGAACCTCTTTCTGTTCCCAATTCTTTTGATTTCTGCGGTGCCCTTCAGGAGGTTGTAATGTAAATACCACCGGGTGATTTTCTTGTGTGGAGCCTTCCAAGGTCTTAGTGCATGAATGAGTTTGGTTTCATGCTGGGAAATGTGCAACTCTTGCACCAGGTTGCATGTTGAGCAGAAACATTACCATGAGAAGAGACGGTTTTCTTTATTCCTAGGTATTTATGTCAAGGGGTCCTTCCTTAGGCCAGGTTTTGACTGGAGATTTTTGGAGGAAGCAACTGCCTTGCATGCTGCCAATCTGTGCTGGTGATGGTGGCATCTCCCTCCAAAAATCAGTCATCTCCACGTGCCTGATGTCTCTACCACCAGTGAGCCGCAAGGTACAAACTTCTGCTGGGTCTCAACAGGGCAACAACAAATGCCCTAAGAAAGCATCACTTCAGTGTCTTTTGGATGTTGTGCATGTCCACTGTGAGAAACAAAACCACTCATGCTGATGTGCCAGTCAGGGCTGCAGCCAAGTAGATTTGAGAGCAGGAACAGCTGGATTTCAGTGGACTATTAAAGCGCTGCAGCCGAAAGCCATCATTGTGACCTTCTCACATACCACAGACCTCTGGAGAGGATCATCTGCATAATTACAGGGATCACAGATCTTGCACTTCCCCTATCAATGATTATTTTCCTTCTGGGTACAGTATGTTCCTGCAAATTCCAACTATAAAATGTTCTAATGGTCTTTGCAGTCATCCGAGTTAGCTACAGAAAAATGTCCTAGAGCTGAGCTGGAAACGCAGCTCCCGGCTGCATGAATCTGCATGGGAACAGGGTGTGTGCAGCACGTTCCATCCACGGATAAGCTAATCCTTTCTGCAGATAAAAACTGCCAGCAAAATGTAGCCTGAAAAAGTAGTTACCCAGGTTGTTTGTTTTATAAAGGACGGATAAAATTTCAGAGCGATAAAATCATTTCCTTGAAATACTTCCACTCAATAATTTACTTCCTTTTGAAAAGCTTAATCTTTCCTCTCCTGAACTTTTCATTTATTTATTTATTTGTTATTCCAGCGATGGCCCTGATCTGAATGGGGGGATGCGCAGCTACAAGACCATGTTTTGTGATACGGGAGCACGTGCCATGCCAGCTGGAGCTAACATGCGTGGAGGGGGGACGACTAGCACCCCACTGCCCCTCCAGTAAATATCACATTGTGCTGGTAAATGTTGCATTGTGTTAATTCACAGGAGCCCTGCAGACAGCTGCAATGAAAATTGTTGTTTAGTACTACCGGTCAGGCCATGTCCATGGCTTGGGTCATGTTGGTGGGCTACACTTTGCAGGGCTGGAGCTGGTGCAGACAGGACATGCTGTGCATGTTGTGGCCAGCTCGAAACTTTGGGCTCAGGGATGGAGCTGGGGATTTATTTTTCAGTGAAGGCTGAGCTGCTTTGATTAATCGCATGGAACTTTAGGCAAGACACCAAATAGTGCAAGATTCTCTATAAAGCCATGAACAGCTGGCAGAGCTGGAGAAGTGGCAAAAAATGAATTGTCTTTTTTTTCAAAGTCACATAATTGCTTTAGGAAAGGTTGGGAGCCAAAGCCTGGAAAATTCTACAGAGCTAAAAATCAAAGCCACTGAAAAAAATGAAGGGTACATCTTCAGCTTAAGCGCTGGCCTGGACTTTGCAGGGTATTCTTTACCCCTGCTGTGCAGTGCAGGCTGCCTTCTGGAAAGAGGATTTGCAAACAGGAGGATTTAATCTGATGGCTATTGAAATCAGTGAAGTGCAGTGGGATCTGGCAGGGTGTCCAGCACCGGTGGGCTTGTGCTGGCCCTTGGGATATTGAAAGCACATTGCCCCGAGGCTGTCATGGTGCTGACTTGGTAAAGAGCAATAAGGGGAAGCATAAAATGTCACTCAGAAAATAGGTCAAAAGAAAAATAAATGGCTGAACCCTCTCCCTGGGCTGGCTGACCCACGCTGCAGCCTGCAGCACATGAGGATGTCACGTCCAGATGTCTTTGGCCATCAAACTCCTTACACCCAGTTTGATGGGCAGTGCCTTTCAGTAGGCACCTTAACTGACCCCTCTGCAGAGGGACAAAGCAGAAGAAGAGGAACGTGTTCAGCACGAGGAACAACAGCAACGAGGGAACAGTGATTCATCACATTTGCTCTATAAAGGATTTTGTAGGTTCACCTGGCAGAAATGTGTCTGTGAATGCAAGTTTATATCATAGCCTGGCATAGATTTAATGGGGGACAAAGGAGAAAGAGGGGATTAATACTTCCTTTGCCTTTCCATATTAGGCACCAGATATTAACATCTACCCTTGTTTCTCTCTCAGGTAAATGTAATGGCCGTGATACCTATTTCTTCCCAACCCCTTCAGATGACTTGAAATGGCTTATATCTATTTTTGGGTTGTGTGCTAGACCATTTCCTAATGCTCCCAAAGCACCCAGCTAGCACAGCACTATATGGATCTAAAAGATGAAAATATATATGAAAAATAAGTGAAAAAGCTGAATTCCAGCAACAGAAATTTAACAGGATTTGGAAGAGCTGTTGTCAGCTTAGTTTTCCACCAGTGTAATTCCTCTGATGTAAAGGTCAACTAACTCACATAGGCAAAAATCCCAATTAGAATTGGGTCTGTTACTGGAAGATGGTGAAAAGAATGGCACCTCCAGAAGCTGAGCAAATTGCGTGTTTCCTGGAGAAAACCTAAACAGAGAAAGAGAAGCAAACACAACCAGAACCAAAATAAATAGAAATGCAAACATACCTGGACAGGACTGCTCTGAGACCAAATAAAATTAAAATGCACTGCTTGGGGCTTCTGGAGGGCTGGGTGATAGATACTTATCCTATATCCCACAGAGAGGGCAGCAAAGTAATTCTTGAAAAACAGGGGGTGTTCTTGAAGTAACTGTGTTCTTACAGGTTTGATGGTCTAGGGATGTATATGAGGCAACGCCTATGGGGAGAAGTAATACCTGTCAGAAGATCATCTAAATACCAGTGAGGGAAAACAGCACGCAAGCCTCCTGTGGGTACCTTCTCCACCAAGCACTCACTGTGTAATATAAATCGGCTTAATATAAATTACATTAGGAGAACTAGGTATAAATGCCTGACAGGATGATGGCAGGCAATCGGCTCTACACAATGGCAATAACATCAGCTATTCAGTTGTAACACTGATGATCTAGAGATGTGAGCCAGGCAAGGGTACAAGGAGAGGTAATACTGTGCGATCTATACACATAAATGTATTGTGCAGCCAGATACAGGATCTCTGGCCTATCATCTCCTGGGACAGAGCCACATAAAGGTTTGTTGTTTCAATTCCAAGACCTTCTAGAATAAATTACTCTAGAAATGCAAAATGAAATCAATAATAATACAAGCAGCTGGCTACAGCAATTGTTCGTCTTTGATAGCTTTTTAACAAAGTTAAGCATCAACTGTTCCAAGTTCCACTTAAAATAGGAGCTGATCAAGTTTCCCCACTCCAATAAAACAGGTAAGCTGCTTTACATGTTTCAGCAGATGAAAAATACTAAACTAGAAAGTGAAGAGGTTTGTCCAAAGACTCAAGGCAAGCCTGTGGCAGAGCCTGAGACTGCACCTGACACTTGCAAGTGCCTACTTGCTATTTGTCCATCTGGCCTCTCCTCCAAAGGCACTAGGTGCTTGCACAGGGCTCGAGATCTCCCAGATCTGCAACAGAGAGCAGAGAAATTAAACTAGCCTAGGGCACAGGAAACCCATCCTCTCTGACTTCTCATGTCACCTGAGTAAGTTTGAGCCTTAGCCTCATTAAACCCAGCTTCCTACCACAACACCGTTAAACCATGAGACAGGAATGTTACTAGAATAAATGCATGCAAAATTCAATGATATATACTTTATATGCATACATACTATGTGTACAATGAATATGCTTTATATGGTGTGGTTACCTTAGCACGTAAGAAGGAGAAACTTAGCACCAAAACCCAACAAAAAGGAAGGAGCTCTTCTTCTCAGATTTTGATTTTTGCTGGCATTATTTCATTCATTTTAGTTTTTTTCTTCCTCTCTTTTCCCAGTGGTCACCTTTCACCAGAAAGAGCTTGTTTGCATGTATGCCATTAGCTGCAGTGTTTGCGTAGTAGTTGCTGCCTTTAGATTTCTTACTTGATGCAGTAATGTGAAGAAAATGCAACTTTGTGGCCTGTACTGACAAAAAAAATTCCAAAAGCCTCTGGATTTAATAAAAGCCTACAAAAACCCTTCCCAGAACACAAACCAATTTATTCTGAGGGAGGTTTCTTTCAAAAAAGAAGTGGGGGGGGGGGGGCAGCAGCTCCCACACATTCTGTAGACCAGATTCTCCATTTGCAGAGCTAGAAACCAGGAAGTCATTCCTAGTCATCACAGTTACAGCCATCTAAAGTTGCTGCTGCTGAGTAGGGTCACAGACCCCTCAGTTGCAAGCTCACCTACACAGATGACAGCTTGAGAAGGGTTGGTTGGGGGGGAGGAGCTATCTGCACTCCACAACAGCATTAGGGGGCTCTGACTTGCAATATTTGCTGCTCTTTGTGACTGGAACTGAATGATTTCTCCTTTTTTCATGGTTCCACGATAAGTCAAAGATGCCAGCACTGTTGAGGGAGCCCACCTGCATGAGCTGCATTTAAGCAAAGGCCTGGAACTTTGCTCACCAAATAGCTTTTAATAGCTTGCTCCCAGCAAGTGAGACCTGTCTTGTTTGAGATCTTACAAAGCTAACGGCCCTTTTCCCTCAGGTAAAGCAAAGCAGAGCAAAGCAAAGGCAGGAAGAAAATGGCAAAGGCACCGATGAACTAGGTAATCTACCTTTGGCAGTGGGCAGTGACTGAAGATGGCAGATACCCTCTCTCAGCAAAGGAAAATCAAGAACACTTCATTTGCAACTAGGTAATTGCGTGTCAGCTCCTTGAAACCATTAAACACAGAGCTTTCTGCCCATCTTTAACCTTGATAAAGGCAAAAGAAAGCCTCAGGGAGATACCTGGAAGACACCTCAGCCAGGGACAGAAGCTAACAAGGTAGAAACAACTCTCAGAGTAATGACCATGAGAAGTACAACAGAGCTTTTAAAGGTGAAAAGTGGATCAGAAAGAGCAGGTGAATAGTAAACAAACACCTAAACAAAACCCAACCAAATCCCTGAAAAATGAAATGAGAAACCCCAGACAAGTCCTGCTCACCTCCAGAGCTAACTCCCACCATCCTGTTCCAGGTGCACTGGTTTGGTGCCCTGGGAAATGGACTCTTTCTCAGGCTTTGAGGACACAAATGCTAAGAGCTACCTGAGTACAAATTATCATCAGTAAAAGGTCTGCTCATCATTGGAAGTCACTTTGATGGATTCCAAGGAGAAGTGGGAAGCAGCATTTCCTTTGCACCATGAAGGCACAAGGGAAAAACTGTTGTTTTGTATTTCTCTGTAAATAGAGGCAAAAGGACTCAGAAGGAACCAGCATGCTGATATGCTACAAGAAGAACACAGAAGCCAAGGGAGAATTCAGCCAGGCAATGTTAGGTACATGCATAAGCTCAGGACACAAGAAGCCAAATTGCTCTGGAACAGTGCAAGGAAATAAAGGGATAGAGACACTAGTTTATGCCATTCTTATGTGTGTTATTCTTTACCTTTTAGGTCTGATTTTAAGTTGCATAATTACTAGAAATATCCCACCTTTCCCCTCTGCTTTTGGCTTCCTTGTAGTGCAAACCACAGAGCAAAGCAAAGCCAAGACTTGGAGACCACCAAATGTATTATGACATGCTTTTTGAAGAATAACTTGGATAGTTCCCAGGAGCTGGAAGCAAGAGTACAAGGCAGATTTGTTGCCAGTGCAAGACCAAAAGCATTTTCTGCTGCACTGAAAGTTCAGGGTATGAGGGAGGGAAGTTGAGACAACATCATACAGTGCATTAGCTGAAAAGTGGGAGACCATGATTCACAATACAGTCCTTGCAGGGCAGACTCGCCCAACCTCTGTCATGTATAGAGATGCTCTGAGACAATATTCCTGGCAGTGTTCAAGGCCAGGTTGGATGTGGCTTTGAGCAACCTGGTCTAGTGGAAGCTGTCCCTGCCCATGGCAGGGGGGTTGGAATGGGATGAGCTTTAAGGTCGTTTCCAACACAAACCATTCTATGACACTGATTCTGTAGGTATGTATTTTTTCTATCTGTTTACACCATTTTCAGACTGGACCAAAGAGCTTAAATCCACTACTGAGTGGCCAGTGTGGCTCTGGAGATGTACACAAGCAGGATGCCAAAGCTGGATACTGCTGCAAAGGGGGCAGTTGCAGAGCTTCCTGTGTCATCTTGTGACACCACCCATGTGCTGGATGGTGTTAATGGAGAGGAGTGGCAAAGGCCCACTTAATCCCTAGCAGTAAATCCACTCCTGTAATGGTGCCAAGCCAAGTACTCAGACCAAGTGCTTATTGCAGCAGTTCTGCCTTGGGTAGAAAGGTCCTCAGTGGGGTCACAGTCCAGACTGGCCTGCTCTCTTCCCATTTCTCTGCTGCATCTCCAGAGAGGTGGAGAAGGGGTGCTTGCTTTGCAGTGCGGAGACCATCCCCAGGCTTGGCAGAGATGTGAAAATCCCCAGCACTGCCACCAGGCCAAGCCATTTTCTTCCAAAGGGCTCTCCAAGCACTTTCCTGCCTGCCACCAGCAGAAGCATGGCAGAGCTTGCAGACACCCACCATTGCAACAAGCCAACACTGCACACTAAGCACATTCGATACGGTAAATTAAAAAAAAAAACACATTTAAACAAGTGATGCTGTGAACTTTAATGAGCCTCAGAGCCACACTCAGTAGCCTTTTGTCTGTGACAGACAAAAAGGGTGAGGTATTGGTTTGGCAATCAGAAAACAGTTTGTGTGATGGGGACCAGAGTGAAGAAACATTGGCTGTGACAGAAGTAAAATGTGGTGCTCACCAGAAGCATGTAGGAAGTGAGAGCCCTAATGGAACAACTGATGTACCTGAAAATCACTAGGTGAGAGTGTGATTTCAAAGCAAACAATTAATTTTGAGCAGCACCTGCTGCACAAAAGACACCCACAGAACTTAAAGCAAAACCAAGGGCTGAACACACTTTAAAAGAACCCACCGGTCTGGTCAAAGGTAAGAGCAGTAGCAAGAGAACCATATCAAACAGGATTTTGATCATGCAGAGAGCAGTAGCAGTCCATTAAACAGCTGAAAGACAAAGACTGATGCTCAATGACAGAGACTGTCTGGGGAAGCAAGGAGATGTGCTACCTTTGGGGATTGAAGCAACCTGCAGCCTCTGCCATGCTGGTTTCCTGTGTGACCTTGAAGAAGTCATCCAGCCTGTTTCAGTGTCTGGACATAAAATAGTCTTTACGAGAGTGTGTCTGTGAAGGTTTGTAGAGTGCATTGCGATGTTTGGATAGAAAGCAGCACTTGCTTGTTGGGATTGAGAATTGGTTGGCATTTGAGAGCATTTATGACCACCTGATTTATAACCATCTGATTTATAACCACTGTCTGTAAGGAGAGCTGGAGCTTTCAGCAGCTCGGTCAGCAGTGGGACAGTCCCTGGAGCTGTGTGGCTCTTGTTGCTATCCTACCTTAGAAGCCAAACTAAACCCCAGTTTTTAATGAATACATCTGTAACCTTCATACCCAAGCCTGCAACTAAGCAGCTGCGGTGGCTGCCAGCATGCACATGCAAACAAGAAGTTTATCCTAGAGTCCTGTCTTTCTCAATGCTCCCTGTCTCTAAGGGTCTGATCCCTTACCTGAAAATCCTCTGTGGCTTTCTCCAGAAATGGCTTGTTTATGCCTCAAAACTGCTTTGTTCCTTTGTCTCTGATCCTGCATTGCTTATTGGAGGTGTGGGCTGCCTGTGTGTGAATAACCATAGGTACCTCACAGGCTCCTGACAGACTCTTTAACCACCATCAGAAGCACCATCCTGTGTTGTAGGCATGGACAGTCCCACCTCCTCCCTGTTCCTTGTCACCAAGTGCAAATCCTCTCAGGAAAGAGTTAAATGGGTGCTTTTGGTTTCCTGAGAGAGCCCATAAATGAGGCACAGAGCAGTCCCCAAGCAGCCCTAACGTGTTTGTCTAGAGAGGACCAAATGTGAGTCAAGGCTTTGAGCCTGACCCTCCTACCTTTACCATGCTGCGTTTACACAGCTATTGCTCATCATATTAGAGAGATGATACCTGCTCTTGGTGTTACCTCATTTCCTAATTGATCTGGGTCCCAGCTGCAGATATTCCCATTTTTAATTAATCCTTTTTGTTTATACCCAGTGAAAGGCATGATATGGTCAGAATAAAATGCACTGGATTTTGTCCTGTGCGTGATGCTCTCACAGTGGTGGCATTCCCTGACAGAAGAAGCAGCCTGGCAAACCTCATGGCAGGGCATTACGACAATCTCATCAGAAGGAGATAAGAGGCTGGATGAGCTTTGCAGTGTCTGATATGGATAAACACCAGACCAAAGCTTGTCAGCATTCATGAGAGAATAAACCAAAGCATCTAGATGGCAGCAAAAGCGATCATCCAAAGGATGAGAACTATTGAAATGAGATACAATTGGCAACTCACACTTTAAAAATAAAATCAAACTCATTTCATCCATGTCTCTGTACCTACCTGCTTCCTTTGGCAAGAGGAAAGAAACTTTAGCTCGATTAGCTGACTTGACTGCCCACAACTCCGAGCTGAGAGAACACTTCTCAGGGCCTAATTTATTCCACAAATACAACATATTTTTCTGCTCACAGAATACCCACAAACACATTGCAGTTTCCTTACACATTTTTCTTTGATTTTTTTGGCACATTTTCATGAATTGTTTGCAAGTTTGCTCTTTGCAGCACTTAATGCCTGGAATCTGAGCGGTTGGTTAGTGGCAGTTGGTCACGTACATCACATGCTATTATTTCTGCTGGTCCCTGGCTGAGACTGTCCTTCATTGAGTCTGATGCAACACCCTTTGATGTCAATGACAGTCTCTCTCTTTGACTTCAGTGCACTTGGGTCAGCCCTTTGTTAGGGAGGGAACTGGGAGAAGCCACCGGGCTTTCAGTCTCTGAAGCTGGGCTCAAATTTATTTAGGAACTCAGCAAACATTAATTCCTCCCCACACAGGCCCTCCTCAGCTCCGCTCTTAAGA